TCCATCCCTCCATCCATCCATCCATTCTTCATTCCTTATTTCCTTTTATCCACCCAGGCATCCATTCATTTTGTTTATAACGTTTTATAATACACTCAACAGAATTGCTCGTTTCTGATTGGACAAGAGGAGTACGATTAAATCCTAAATTGTACTCTGTAGAGTCCTAATTAAGTTGTTCAATTTTGTAGAGTGTATCATAAACAAAACATCGCACAATCTTCTCGTACAATTCTGAATTTATAGATACTCGTGATGTTTTGAAATTTCTTTCAAAACTTTCAAAACCTTCAAAACATCACTTGTAACTATAAATTCCGAATTGTACTCGAGATCGTGCGACTACCTATACAAACATCACTTACCTTCTGTTACTATTGCATGAGGTTTTCTGGTCATTTTACTATCTAACGCCTTCTTAATTTCTACTTCAATCTTTTCGTTCCTCCTTTGCTTAGCGTTCGCAACGTACTTTTCAGAGTTAAACAAAGCAACGCGAAGAATTTCAAAGATTTCCAGCTCAGTTTCAACATTAGGTCCAGGGTTATTTGGACAGTAGTTGGCAACAAAGAAAGTATGGCTACGAGAGCTTCCCGTAGCAGCTGAAGCTGACTCGAGAGCATTGTCACACTCCTCTTGGGTGTGAAGGGTGTCTCTGTGCGTCACTACAGCCACTGGAGACAATCCTGGCAAAAAGTAGTATCATTTTTATTATGAGTATTTAATATAAAATGAAGCATCTGTGAAATTATATAGGAGTTTAAAATCGTATTTTCAACTCAGTCGTGACTTACAAGGCATCAAAATTTAGGCCATGTAGGAAGGAACAAGTTAAAGTGAGCGACCGCAATATGCAGCTTGTGCATCTCTATATATTCATTCTGGACACAATGAGCTCAGCATTAATTTGATGATAATAAGTCAAAGGCTTTGGAAAACTAGATTTTTACAGCAAAAGACCTGGTCATATTTTTGCAATAACGCCCTGCGTCTTGTCATCTGGTCATATATGGCCTTTATATATAGCGGCTGCCAGAGGCGCCTTCACATGCTTTCAGTTCGACCCAGTTAAGCTGCGCTACTGCTGTACTTTGCGGTGATAATAAGCGATAACAAGTTTTTTTGTTTATTGGTAGGATAGGGGAGCAAACGTTAAGCCAATATTCGTGCCAGTAATTTGTATTTGAGAATCTTTAGAAACCCAACGACTTACCTACAGAATGAAGGATTTCCCTCATTGGCTTAAGATACATTTCAAGAGATCCATTCCTCAGCCTCACATCATTGGCCTTGACTACCAGGACGACACCATGCAACCATTCCTCAAGAGGGACTTCTTCTGAACCTTCGTTATATATCTGTTTAATTCTCTGCCGTCCAATGGGATCCCCAGACTTGATCCTTCCATACATTATATCTGTCATCTCTCTACCCTCGTGATGATCATAGCTGAAGAACCCTCTAGTATCAACAAGTCTGAAGAACATTTGAGAGAGATAGTCCTCGAGAACGATGGTGCCTTCTGACCCTGACGTTGCTATGGGAACTGATCCTTTATCTGTCTGCAGAACTGCACGCTCACAAGTATTGATAAAACAGCTCTTGCCAGACCCCGTGGGGCCAAACACTCCGATACGAAGCTTACTCAGATTCAAACTTCGAACGTTTTGGAATTTAGTCCTGTTTCCTAGTTTGTAGTTAAATAGTGCTGAGCGTTCCTCTGCTGCTTTTGTTTCTAGTTCTATTTTTTTCTGTCGTTCTCGCTCTAAACGTTCCTGTTCTAGAATAAGACTCAATTCTTCCGCACGTCTTATCTCGTCTTGCTCCGCTAGGTAGCATTGTCGTTCAAATTCAATTCGGTCTTCTCTTTCTTTCTCGATTCTTCGTCGTTCTTCTGCTTCTATTCGTCGTCTTTCCTCTGCAAGTCGTCTTTCTTCAGCCTCTCGAGCAAATTCGAGGATTTGTGTGGTAGTATCGACAAAGTTAAAACGGGTTTCGACTCTGCTTTCGCCACCCTTTGAGATAAATAAATAAATATAGCAACCCAGTTAACACTTTTCATGATATTGCAAGCCAGATGACCTATAAAGAATGAAGCTTGGCTTGGACCCGGGGTTTGGAGCGAGCAATCACTGATTAAGAATGGCAAGAGAGGTCAGAATACCACAGGTTTGCCCCTCTATCCCACCAAAAGTCTTAAACCTAAAAATAGAAGTTTTCTCTAGGTAAAAATAATCCATCATGACCCGCAGGGATGCAGTGACCCTCTTCGAATAAAATAAACTGTTCGCCAACTGCTATCATACCACAGCAATACGCTAACTAATTTAGTAATATTGTTAAATGTTCAATATATTTGGATCCGCTGTAATTATGGTAAATGGTTGCAAAGAAAGATGGTCTGCCATTTTCTCATGCGTTACCTTTTGCAAAATTTTCAGTGAATCAGTTTTGTATAACCGAATAACTCAATACAATTAACTCACCCCCATTTGGTAGAATTCTAAGTTTTTCGACAAAGTCCGCTTTTGGAAGCAGTGGAGAAGTTCTTGTCTCTCGGCTGATCATGAAGTCCTCTTTATTAATGCCTCGGTGCTGTGGATACTTAATGCTACATCATACAAAATATCCCTGAAACCCGATGAAGGTTGAGTCATGCATAAATTATCTTAGAACGAAATCGATTGTTATTCAAGTTTACGGACTTAGGGAAAATTCCCCCGATCTTTGAGTTTGTTTTTCTAGGAAACTACGGATGTCAGCAGCTTCTTGGAAACAAGTCAAAACCGGTTTCCAAGTCCGGGGGGCCGTTGATCAACATTTCGTTTTTGTCACGCGTCACGCAATGTCATTTCCAAGAAATTGAGTAATCATTTCGGGGAAACCCCTACGACACCAGTCAAGAGAAACCTTCCTTCGAGTTCGTTTCTCTTCCTTAATACCACGGGAAAATGGCGTTAAAGTTTCGTTTATTCAATTGTGACCGTACATTTAATCTTGATAAAGTCGAAGCACTTATCCAGCGAGTTGCTGCGAAGCTTTCTCGTGAAACCAAGATCGAAAAAACTTACTTTCCTCTGCCCCGCATGAACGAGTTGTGTGTGAAACTCGAGAAAGAAGACCATTTTGAGTACGCTGTGTTTGTCGTCCATGCTCATGAGTCTCGGCTTTCTATAAACGAGGCAAATGCTGGTATTGGCTACGCTAAGGTATATCGAGCACTGCAGAAAGCCACAGGTGAAAACTTTATTATTATCTTCTATTACTAGTGGTTTTATTCTGGTATAATCTTTAATTGATGTTTCATAAACGAAAGTCCTTGTTTTCCAATAAATTGCGGCTTAGCAACCGTTCATAAGTAGGAAGCACTAAGGAAATACTTGGGGGTGGTGGGTGGGGGAGATAGAGGGGGAGGGGTGTGGATTGGTTTGAATAACCCTTTCAAGGGCCTTTGCTATAGAATATCGTTAAATATTCCATTGAACCCCATACCCGTGGTGGAAAATATACCAGTAGTAATTCTAATCCCTCTCTCTCCAACTTAACTCAAGATGTATTCAACATGTATTGGTGAACAATTTAGCTCAAACAGCACTTTGACCCGCAAGCCAGCAACATATTGCTTATAACATTTAAATTTGAATTCAGTTCAGTGGTCATATTTAACCGTTGGCTCAACTCGTACATTGTTTCGTCCAATCTCTCTTTCTATCATTATGATAACCATTTGTTTATCATTAGGTGATCGAGTGCTGATTGTGATTGGTGGAGATGACAATTACAAAGACCAAGGAGAGCGTGACAAGTCAGTTCTGTCACGCTGGGCCTGGCGCAAGATTTGCTCTCAGTTCACTGAAGATTACGTCAATGGAGTGAAAAGTTTCATTTTCTCTTGGGAGGAAGATCACCATCCCATACATGAAGAGGCGCTCGAGTTCTATCTTGACCCAACGTTGCGGGGAACCCAGTTCGTACCACGCCCAAAGCCACCCACTGCAAAGGTCCCTGAGAAAGAAGAGACAATAAAAGTTGAACAGAGTAAATTATCGGAGGTAAAGAGGCAAGTGCCACTACCCATGGAGGCTAAAAGTATTCTTGAAAACGAATTTCCACCAGAGAGGAATGAAAATCGTGCCCTACCTTCACGACCAGAAACACGTGCTGAAGGCATGACTCGTCCTCTTCAGAGAGAAAATCAAAGTAAGTGGTATTAGGGGTAAGAAAGATAATCGAGGTTGGCGTAGTGGTAGTTCACTTGTCTCTCACTTTAGGGGTCTCGGGTTGGATTTCTGGACTTGGCATCACATAAGAGTAGAGTTTGTTAGGTCTATCCCTTGTTTCGACGTTTTTTCTTCGGGTTTTCTAGTTTGGCCCCCTTCGCAAAATCGAACAAGCTAAAGTTCAGTTTGATCTGTGAGTTGCCTTGCCCTCACTTAGATCAACCCAGAGGTTGTTGAATTGAATTGAAGGTTTATTTAAATGGGCAAAAAAGTCCTCTATAAATGTTTTCCATGTTTTTCCCCCTATCCTACAGAATCTGCAATCAGTGGTACACCAGATGTTCACATTCTTTCATTTCATGCGTCAAAACCATCTGTTGATCAGGTGGAAAACTACATTAGAAAAGTTTCCAAGGAATTTGCTATTCCATCAAATCCAAAGTCGAGCGCAGATCAACAAATTAACATCCAAGACTACATCATGAATCACAAACCAGAATATCTGGTGCTCGTGTCTGATATTGATAATATTCAAGATGTGCCCAACGTTGACGAGCAAGTTCAACGTTACAAAGAAATCGTCGAGAAGAGCTTCAGCGTTGGTAAGTGGACAATCTTATGATACGGATGATATTATTCAAGATTCCAATATTTTTAACATCAAACCTATCAACAGCCGGCGCGGATAGGGGAGGTCTGATTCCTTTGTCCATGGTTTCCTACTCAGGAAGGCTTTTCCTTTTCAAAAAGCGCTCCGCCCCTTTACCCTATTTCCAGTCCCTTGCACAAAAACCAACGCACAGGGAAAGTTTACAGACAACACCAGCTGAATGAACTTATTTTTTCTTTCCGTCAATTGAGTTTGTTTTCTGTTCTTTCAAAGGTACAAAACTAGTCTTCATCATAACTGAAGACAAAAACTACAGAGAAGGGGACTTTTGTTCCATGGCCGTAAGCAACATATTCACAACCTTGAATCAAGACATGACGAGATCAGAGCAGCCGATGGTCATGTCATGGAACACAATACCGTGGTCTCTCCACAAAGAAGCATTGGTTCAGTTACTGAGAGCGTATGGAAATGTACAGCGGTCCGCACCAAAGCAATATGGAACCACCAAACAAGACCCAACACCAAGCGTTTCCTACACTCAACCTGAATATATTCCAATGAAAAGATGGTTTTACAGGGCATCTATCAGCAATGGTCGTCTAGTTGAGGTTTTGAAGTCCGATCCACCCGGCTGGGAACCCGATATTCGCTTCTTAAATGACTTGCTAATGAAAAATGGAAGTTTAGAGAAAGCTACCATTGAATTCTGGGATGAAGGGGACGGACGCGGAGTACAGAGTACTGTTCATCCAAGCAAAGCCATGCTTTCCAAGATCGCTGAAGGTATTGTAGACACGATATTCGTCCCATAAAATTGATCCGGATCAAGAGTGTGACTAGACTTCGTATGCGTACTTCCCTATTCGTGTAATAGCTGGTTTTGATGCAATGTTTTGTTTTATGGTAGGATTTGGTACAGACAAGATGCATTCTATTCTTGTTTATTCCTATCACGTCAAAGAAGAAACAAACAAAGCGCTAAGTAATTTCATACATCACTTGAACGTTCCGGTACTGTTGCCGTGGGAACCTATAGAGCCAGCCTCATTGATGACAGAAATCACGGGCGTTAATCCAGATTATGTAATGTTTTCTGCTGACACCGATGTTTTAAAAGACGAAGACGAAGTGCAAACGCTGATACAAGAGCACCGAGCCAAAATTAAAGACACCATCGAAAAATGTGTCGGTAAGGAAAGTATGAATTAATTTTTTTTCCTCAAAAGCATTTTCCTTGATTCAGCAAGTATTTGTGATCCGTAGCACCAAATGTTAATGGCACAGCAGGAGTTCTCAGTAGAGTTGGTGGGCGCGGTCGAGTTTTGGCGCGAACTTGGAGTTCCAACCAAAATCACAGAGACTCCATTAGAAAGAACCATTTTGTCGCAAAGGAGTGACTTTTGTTCTGTTATTCCAATACTGAACAATTTTTTCAAACCCTTTAACTCTTCTTTCGCCATCATCCCCTTTTCCTCTGCCCCCCACGTGCCCTAAAGGCTTTTGTATATACTAGAATATAGGTAGGATATTCTATGGTATGCCACTCAAAGCCATTTTATAACCACTGTATATGCCAATTGGTTGTCCTTTCTTTATCCTTGTCGTTCTTTGAAGAAATTTTAGTCGTAGAGTAAAACATCCTTTCTTAAATTAAATTTGTTCTTACTAAAACCGTTTCCAACACAGGTCAAGGAGTAATCATCATGTTGTTTGGTGACAAGTCTTACATAAAGGGGGAAGAATTGGCTTCAGAGGAAGCAACACAGTGCGTTAGAAACCTGACCCAAGACATCGTCCCCGCTGATAGACTGACTGTCATGACATGTCAGAAAGGACTCTTCACAACACATCAGGATTGGATGATGAAAAACATTCTAAAATCTAAGGATGTAAAGAGTTTTACAACACCACAGCAGTCAGCAAGTCATGGAGCAGTTGCATCTGTACCGTCCAAACAGTATTATTACAAAGCAGTTATCAGAAATGGTCAAATAACTGAAGTGTTAAAACATACCCCCCCAGACTGGAAACCTGATGAAGAGATGGTGAGAAAACAACTGGAGAAACATAGAAATGAAAAGAAAGCTTATCTTGAAATCTTGGGGAATGACCAAGGAGAAATATTGTCAATCACTGTAGAAAAGGAATCGAAAGGACCCTTTTTTTATGCCAACGAACTTAAAAATTCTTTCACTTCATTTCTTAGTAGTGATACTAAAGATAAACATTCCGATAAGAAAGATTACGTCTAAAGACCTCCAAAGAAAAATTGAAAGCGTTGAAAAAGTAAGTTTAACACTTGTACAGTAGTTTTTGACACTCGATATAAATCTTTTGTGTCTGCACGTTATCATGATCTGAAGTTTAGAATTCTAAATAGAAAATCGATATGAACACCTTGAATGCTTCAGGTCGTGGTACAATTTTCTGTTGGCTGTAAATCAGAGAAAAATAGAAAGACAAATCATGCTTCAGGTCTGTGATGTGTATTAACCTACTTGACTGAGTCTTTGTTGTTGTTTACCAATGTTAATTAAATAGCATTATCGTATTTTGTATTTCGTCGTTTTGATTGGCCGATATAACTGCAATAAACTGCCTACTAATAATAACATTTTTTACGGCGACAGGGGTGGATCCAGGGTATTCTTAAAGAGGGGAATCTGCTTTCAAAGGACATCCACCTGTAAAATACACTGAACCCGAGCGAGATCAAAAATTATATATATAAAACATATAACCTGCACGCCATCCTCCCTCCGACATACATAATGCAGACGGCTTCGTTCGAACATAGTTAATAGACTATGGTTCGAAGGAGCGTCCATTAGTTCGTAGTCAGTCATATTCATCAGTGCACAAGAAAGAAGAAAAGTGTACGAGATCAGAAATCATTTCTAAACAATATCAGAATTGACAAATCCTTCAAAACAGTGTCTGAACCTCATACGTTATTTCCTGTTCTTAGACAAAAAGGCACATAGAAAGTCAGTATTACATTATTAATGTGCTATACGGATGGCGAAGTAAGTCACGCTTCATGCAACATCGACTCATTTTTAACTCGTGGATACGCGAAGCGTAGAAACGAGTTATTTTGAGGGGTCTGAATATGCAAATGTGTCACTCGCTCACTCGCTCACTAAGATGTTAGCAGATCGATAATTAAACGTTTAGCGATCGTCTTACGTCATTTGATTACGAATGTTACACGACACTAGCAAGCACAAAGCTCTTATGCCATATAGATTACTTTGTTATTTTATATGAGGAAACGAAATGCTGATGTTCCATGTGGGATCAGTTTCTAGCACTTGTAGGGCGCCGTGGGGGCCCACTGTGCATGCGCACACTCGCACATAGTTTTATCTTCGAATTATTCATATCAAAAGAATCAAGGAAAGATGCAAGTT